GCTAAAATACTACTCTTTGTTATGTTTGCGTGGACAAAGAAACAAAATAAAACCTCAGTGGGCATAATAATAAAGGTGACGACGTAATAAGACTGAAATTTTGAAGTTTTCACGCGGACAAACGTCGTAGAGCCTTGGTGTAATGTGTAAGTGCCCAAAGAGGAAAAATGTTCCTATAAGTTGGATAATTGAGCATTATACTCGTATTGGACACTCCTCTTATTTCCTGCAAATTTACATGAAAGCAAAATAAAAAGTTTTATTCTACTGTTCTGTCATAGTGAGCTCCATGTTATACTATCTTAGTGAATTAGAACGTTACCTCTTGTGGAAAATCGCCGTTATCCAACTGCGAATTGATCAACACTTTGGCTCCGCGATGAACAGGTAAAGAGTGTCTCTCCATCTGACCACAAATAATTAGACTCATCAATGCTTGTCCTGTATTCACTACATTTGTCCTGTTTCCTACCAAAGGAATATATTTCTTGTTGATGCAAGAGAGATAACTTTCTCCCCACCCGCCTTCGTCATTTTGTGTCACGAGAAGAAACAGAACGGCTTTACGAATTGTCTCGCAGTTATTGTAAGTCTTGCCTGCAGCCACTAAACCTCTTAGTGCAAAAAAGGTCCCATATATGAAGCAAACTCCCCAATTTCCATACCATGAACCATCCTCCATTTGCAAACTCTCAATGTATTTCACGCCCTTTGTTATAAAATTTTCGACTTCTTTCGTTCGGTGTCCTGAAAACTGTTCCCTGAACCGAGCCAATGCTACGATCCCTGACCCCGTACATTCTATATGCCTGTTTAAAATTAACATCCCAGGCTTTAGTTAAACACAAAAACGAACAAAAAATTAAGGATAACCATCATATATTACACCAACTTCTATCAATGTAACACCAATTTTTTAGGTTTAAAATTACGTATATGCTTCTTTAATTTAATTTAGTTTTACACCGAGTTTAGATCGTTAGTGACTTAGTGTGGTTATTGACTGATGAGTAATTCCTAAAAAAACATCAAGGTTTCGGATCATTCGATGAAAGTGGGTGTAGTTTAATTATAGCTGTTATACTTATCCCAAAGAAAGGAAAAGATAAATAGAGAGTGTGGTAAAGATAGATCGAGTACTCGTGCTCCACGGTCGTGTTTTCCGCAAACTCTGTCGGACTAATCCACTGCATAAAAGTAACAACTCTTGCTAAGATAGTAAATTTGTGGCTAATAAATTTACTATGCAAATTTGTGGCAAGAAGATAGATACATGCATGGTAGTAACCGGTACGTACCTCTAGCCAGGGTTTTCCACTCTCCTGCTCCCACACCGTTAAGCCTCCATTGTCGCTCTATTGATTTTTAGTATTTTGTCAAACATGTGAAGCCAATTAATGTAACGAGCTAATACTTATTATATACCAAAAGTTTGAAAAAACCAGTTTCATGCTAACTTGAAGATGGATAATTTTACCTGAAGATAAAGAAGTAAATTAACGGCATCAAAGAGCCTCTCTACATTCATTTTCTCACCGCCAACTAAATCGGACGGCATGCTTTCAAAGATTAGGCAACACTGGACACGAAGACTGATCATTAGTATATGAGAATGAAGAAAATATTTTAGTTAAAAGAATGCAAAAAAGAGAAGTTGTTCGATCGCACCTCTAAACTCTCAGCAGTACCATCCGATATCGTCCATCCTTGATCTTTGTCCGAAAATGTCCATCCTCCTTTTGTAATGTATCTAAACATTTTTATATGGTCACCTGGAGGGTTCTCTGTAAGCTGAGATTTCACCAAGAAGTCGTATCCCTTGACCAACGTTGATCTA